GACTTACACACACAAACACAGAGACTTACATACACAGACACAGAAAGACTTAAACACCTACACAAACACAGAGAATTACACACACAGAGACGTAGACACACAGAGACACAAACACAGAGAATTACACACACAGAGACTTAGACACACACAGACACAAACACAGAGAATTACACACACAGAGACTTAGACACACACAGACACAAACACAGAGACTTACACACACAGACACACAAACACAGAGACATACACACACAGATACACAAACACAGAGTCTTACACACACAAGCACAGAGACTTACACAAACACAGAGACTTACACACACAGACACACAAACAATAAGTTTTACACATAAACACAGAGGCTTACACGCACAAACACAGAGACTTGGATACACACAGACACAGATACCTATACACAGACCCAGACACAGAGACTTACACACACATTTACACGGAGACTTACACACACAGACACAGATACACACAGACACAGAGACTTACACAGAGACTTACACACACAAACACAGAGGCTTACACACAGAGACTACACAGAAACACTGAGACTTACACACACAAGTACAAATATATACACATACACAAACACAGAGACTTACACACACAAACACAGAGACTAACACACACAGACACACAAACACAGAGACTTATACACACACGCGATCGGATCAAGATCACGAGTCTTTAAGCAAGCAATGACTTGCCATATGATACAAGTTGCCTTATACCACCACACTACTTCGCTATATGAATGTCTTACGTCTACTACTTTCTCTGAACGATTCTATCAATATGCAATAAACCAGATGTTCTATCTAATTGTTTCACCGGCAGATATATTTGTCGGATTTCTTTTGTCACCGTGCCGTTAGAGCTGCTATTGTACATTTAAATCGTACATGGAAATCAGATGGAAACATGTCATGTGATCTGGATATCACTGCACGCTACATAATTAGAAGATAAAGTTACTCTGTTTTCAATTTTGTGGTCCTTTATCGTCGATTTAAGACCGCTAAATTAAACATTAAAATTAAACATTTAGCGGTCTTAAATCAACGATAAAGGACCACAAAATTGAAAACAGAGTAGCTTTATCTTCATTCTAGCACGACCGAAAGCGTTTTAAAACCGAAATGTTTGGCGCGCCTGTTTGGGCCTTTTTCCTGGAAATCGCTTGGAATTGTCCCGTTGAGGGACAGGTCGTGTTATGAACAAAATAAGACATTTTCAACAACATAATTGCTTTATTTCAGGAACCAGTATGCTTGTATTTGTAACAAGTAACATACATAAATAAAAACATACAGTTTATACTGTGAGCAAGTACAATTATTTGATTTTTCTCAAGCGAATTATTGTACTGTATGACAATTGACTCGCCCAAATTCAAGCGTGAACTCGCTAAGTTTAGTCGCCGCTAACTTTATTCACGGAAATAATTGTTGATAACCACCCTACTATTCCCAATTTGGAAAAGACCTGACTTGCCACGATTTATGTGGGATACATGGGCAGTGGAAGTGGAAGGACTGGGCATTACGGCCTGGGCGGAAGCGGTCAGATTAGGACGTGTGGGCCGACGTGTGTTGTCGACGTCAACACACGTAGATCTGGACCCGGTTTGAATATACTGCCGCTTTTGCGCTGCTGACGAATTTTCCAGCTTCGTAGTTTTTTCACTTGGATTAGGGTCAAGGAAATCTTCTTCAAACCATTCGCTTTTTACTCCAAAAACACCAAAGATGCTACCGAGATAGAAATTGCCGATGTCCGACATGTTTGTTTACAAACAATAGGGTCAACGAATTCGTTGTATTCATACGCGGTGAATCGGTCACTTTAATTAGCGGTCTTTAAACTGCCATTTAAGTACGGTTTTGATGAGCTCTCAGCCAATCAGAATCGAGTATCACACAGTGCCGTGCTAGAATTCCTTCTTATGTACGATACATACCTGTCTGTTCTTAAAGTGTCTCTTGTCAGGGAAGTCATAATTCGTCATTTCTTAGTCAATTTTGCAAAGTTATATTACCGCATTAATGCATTTATGGTCAAGCATGACTGAATAAGAATTGATTCACATAAAGCGTTAGTGAACGTTCAGTTCCAAGTGTCAACTGTCAAAATTGTTACTAAAGTAATGCATCGGTTCTTTCAATCAGGTTTCATATCAATCCTCATTCACAAATTTAGGCGGTGGGATAGCCTGGTGGTTAAAGCGTCCGCTCGTGACGCCGAAGACCCGGGTTCGAAACCCCAGTTTGGTAAAATGAGCGAAGCCCATGTCTGGTGCCTCACGCCCTGATATTGCTGGAATATTACCAAAAAGCGGGGTAAAACCATACTCACACGTTAGTTGTAGCAACATGGTCCTTATTCTGAGTGAAGCTTAAGAAAATTCGATGATCTACACATCTAATCTCTACAGTCAGTTGTTGACACATTTGCAAATGTGTCGCAATGAAACGAACCCCGGTGTTATTCTTCGTGTTTGTGAGAACAAGTTTGTGAACAAACTCTGTAAATGTTCTTTAATCCTAGAGTGAAATGTTGAAATTATCAGCATTTGCTCTCGTGTCTAAAGTCAATAAAGTGCGGAGCCATTTTACTATAACAGTTTAATCTGTAAAATCTGACATAGATTTCTGAGAAAAAATCTGTTTGCTTGCTGATAACAAAAGCAGTTAAGAACTTATCATTATGCTTAGTAAAAAAAGGTAACCACCACGTGAATAGATGTTAGGAGATAAAGCGATATATTTAAGAACTTATCATTAAGCTAAGTAAAGAGTGAACTACCACGTGAATAGATGATAGGAGATAAAGCGATATATTTAAGAACTTATCATTAAGCTAAGTAAAAAGTGAACTACCACGTGAATAGATGTTAGGAGATAAAGCGATATATTTAAGAACTTATCATTAAGCTAAGTAAAAGTGAACTACCACGTGAATAGATGTTAGGAGATAAAGCGATATATTTAAGAACTTATCATTAAGCTAAGTAAAAGTGAACTACCACGTGAATAGATGTTAGGAGATAAAGCGATATATTTAAGAACTTATCATTAAGCTAAGTAAAAGTGAACTACCACGTGAATAGATGTTAGGAGATAAAGCGATATATTTAAGAACTTATCATTAAGCTAAGTAAAAGTGAACTACCACGTGAATAGATGATAGGAGATAAAGCGATATATTTAAGAACTTATCATTAAGCTAAGTAAAAAGTGAACTACCACGTGAATAGATGTTAGGAGATAAAGCGATATATTTAAGAACTTATCATCAAGCTAAGTAAAAAGTGAACTACCACGTGAATAGATGTTAGGAGATAAAGCGATATATTTAAGAACTTATCATTAAGCTAAGTAAAAAGTGAACTACCACGTGAATAGATGATAGGAGATAAAGCGATATATTTAAGAACTTATCATTAAGCTAAGTAAAAAGTGAACTACCACGTGAATAGATGTTAGGAGATAAAGCGATATATTTAAGAACTTATCATTAAGCTAAGTAAAAGTGAACTACCACGTGAATAGATGTTAGGAGATAAAGCGATATATTTAATAACTTATCATTAAGCTAAGTAAAAAGTGAACTACCACGTGAATAGATGTTAGGAGATAAAGCGATATATTTAAGAACCTATCATTAAGCTAAGTAAAAAGTGAACTACCACGGCAGTAGATGACAGGAGATAAAGTGACATCTCTTCACTGGATTGTTTTTATCACTGGTACAGCCGGCTTGCATTGTTACTTTCGATTTACAGTAAGAAACAATAAGTTCAGCTGAAATTTGTATATAAATGAATTTTGAAAACACAACAACCAAATGTTACACAGTTGACAGTTGTATTAAATATTCACACAGTTTCCAAAATCACACCAAAGGAATTACAATGGCAAATACAAACCAGAGTGACAGTGCCTTGTAAAATAGAAGCAGTGATTATTTCAATAAAGACAGTGAGGATAATATTAGCCTAGCAGGAATAGTGGACCAGTTTACAAAATAGGCATAGACTGGGTGCACATATTTTCACAGAATGATATCCTTGGTAAATGGTGCAAACATCTGCAAAGATTGCTGTCCTTGGTGCACGGTGCAAAGATCTTCACAGTCTGATGTCCTTGGTGCAAAGTGCAAAGGTCTTCACAGACTTCTGTCCTTTGTGAATGGCGCAAAGATCTTAACAGACCTATGTCCCTGGTGCACGGTGGAAAGATCTTCATAGACTTCTGTCTTTTGTGCACGGTGAAAAGATCTTTACAGACCTATGTCCTTGCTGTACGGTACAAACATCTTCACAGACTTCTGTCCTTGGTGCACGGTGCAAAGATCTTCACAGACGTCTGTCCTTGGTGCATGGTGCAAAGATCTTCGCAGACTGCGCAAGTTTGACTTCAAACTGATACTCCGGCATGGTTCAACTGTGTCTCTGATCTATCGACTACTATGTTGATGGCAAGCATTGAAATTCCCTAACCACACTGCCGAAACCACGTACACACGCATGCACGCATGCATTATGTGTACACGTGCCTCATATATCATTACTGAAATACAATGATTGAAAACATTTGTTGGGACATAGGTTATGTGATGCTGATAATACAATAGTAAAGAAACACCGCATGCACATTGTTCGGGGCGATCTATTGCATCGATAAAAATACCGATTGTATGATACACAACGCGTGATATTGGTTTCGTTTTTCATCTGGACAAATATCAGAAATTATGTCAGATTCATGGATAATACCAGATGCTGGGAATACTCGGCACCGAGTATCTAGTGATGGATGAATAGGATACTGAACATCTGATTACATCAGGTTCTTCGCGAACAGTGAATCTTTGTTTACTCAAGTGATCAACATTATCATGCAGAAAGGCAACTGACTTAACTGACGACTTCAACCCTATAGGGTTTAACTGTAGTGTATATCATTGTTCAGAATCTTGAATTGTCTATTTTGAAGTGTTCAGTGATTCAGTGAAAGTGAAAAGTTAGTTTATAAAATGCGATATTGCTTCCACATTTCAACCGATTGTCCATCTGCAACATAACCCGTGGCGATATATACTATCTTTTTATAATGTCTTCTTCTGTCAGTATGTATTACTTGTAGAAGGTCCGAGAAAACACTTACATACATACGTGATTATGAATTAGGCTTAAGAACTTTAACAATATTCATCATAAATATGTTATTGTGATTCAACCGGCTCGTAATACAAGTAGGAAAAAACAAAACAAAACATGGCACTAGGAGTTTAAAACAGACGGATTTTGTGACATGAATAATAAAGACTTTTCAGCTGTTGACTGAATATTTAGATCCAATTACTAATCTTATATTATCATTAACTGGACATTCAGTTATAAAGTGATATTAATTTTCAATTTGATAGTGCGATATAATCTTAACTTCACTTCAATCTACGACTTTCACCTCAAACCGTATTATTCTGCTCAAATCTACCAAGGTGCATTACATTTTTACCAAATGTATAAGAGACTTCTTCAATATTTAGAGTAAGGTGGAACCCCAAGCTTCTGCTCCACACAATACTACATGAAGAAATGTTCCATCAATGTGAATTTTCTTCAGTTTTCTACTTTTTTCTAAACACAGTAACTTTAGTTTTATTAATAATAGACCCGTGAAGATCCGGGTTAGAATGAATCTTCAGTAACCCATGCTTGTCGTAAAAGGCCACTAACGGGAATCGGGTGGTCAGGCTCACTGGCTTGGTTGACACATGTCATCGGTTCCCAACTGCGAAGATCGATGCTCATGATGTTGATCACTGGATTTTCTGGTCCATTTTTCTGAAGGACAGACCGCCGCCATATAACTGGAATATTGCTGAGTGTGGCGTAAAACTAAACTCGCTAACTCACTATTAATAACAGCATCAAGTCAAAACATTGATTACACAAGAGTCTCGTTTCCTGCTGACTGGGTTCCGTCCTATTGCGCAACTTAGTACAATAACCAGTCCAGAATTTGGAGACCAACTCATTCAACTGGATATATAAATATTAATCAGTATTAATTGATACATCTAATTACTTGTCTATTGCAACACTACGCTCCTTCTAATCCTTGTAAACACGTCGTGCAGCGTGCTCTGTGGTACAGCGAGCTCTGACAAACGGAAATCTGTAAATCGTGGTAAATCTCAAAACGAGGCTCTGCCGCTAGAAATGTTTTGCGGTCTGGTGCGGACTTGATAATACATCAGTCATATTGTGCATTACAAAACTACACTTAATAAGCGCAAAAAACATATATCAGGTGTAACCAGTGAGCCAGATGACTTGTCAATCATTTTACGACCTCATCAAACAGGGGCAGTCTGTGACGTCTTAGGTAAGGTCATGTTGCCTACACCTCGCCACAAAATATAGAAATACGATGTTATTTAAGTTTAGAATTAAAATTAACTTGTAAATACCATTTTATTATGAAACGAGGAATTGAAATCCAGTGTAACCATAGTTCCTTGTGGTGTCTCTCTTCACTTTCACACGAGAACATTCGGATCGGCTGGAAAGTAGGTCATTGTCTGAATAGGTTAATGAGATTCATGTTTCGGGTTGCACCGTACTATCAAACATAACAATGTCGTCAGCAAACAACTATACGAATTAATCAAGTAAATTAATGTCAACAAGACGGTGGTCATCAGCTGCTAAATCTTCACAATATAAGAAGGAAAAATAAGAATGTCGATAACAGGCATCCCTGTCGGACACCGAATTTACAATAAAAAAGACAGTATCGATAACTTATAGCAATACACATGATTGACTGTTTTATACATATTTGATAACAATGTAAGAGTTCTTCACTTAACATTTCCGGTCCATAATGAGTGAGTGAGTTTAGTTTTACGCCGCAGTGATCGAGTGATCAACAGCATGAGCATCGATCTACGCAACTGGGATGCGACATGTGTCAACCTGTCAGCGAGTCTGAACGCCCGATCCCGTTAGTCGCCTCTTACAACAAGCATTGGTTGCTAAAGACCAATTCTAACACATGCTCATGATATAGTCAGAATTGTCGAATTGACTCTCCTTTAGTACAGTTGATTATGGATGTGGAAAGGTTTGTGTTGCTTTTAGTTACAAACACATCCTCAGAATATGGTCAGGCTTGTACAAACGACTTGTACAATCAGAATTGTACAATTTCTTGTTGATGTCGAAGGTGTTGAACACTTTTATTCAGACTTTCAGATACTTCTTAGGATTAAAGGTTTTCTCTCTCGAAACGTAACTAAACGTTTCCAAAAACAAATTGATAATCGCACAGAATTTAGATCAATTATATTATATTATTAAATTTATCTATTTTACCTTCAGACAGATTGGATTTATCTGATTTGTGACTTCATTAATGTTGCCGGAACGAATTTATTTCACATTTCATGATCCACATGATACTAATCACGTTACAATTACAACATTTAAACACATTCTTCAGTAAATTTTAACATGATATTCATAAACTTTAATAGATATTTAAGGGAGAAAATTAGTAGAGCCTATGAAATCGCAAAATCATATTTCTAAAATACGAATTATATGATAAACATTATCTTATTTAATAGCGTCGACAATTTTAAGCCACCTTAAACAGAAGATTTTAACATATAAACTAACGGACAAAAGAAACTATACCAAATCGAAATCACTAATATTACAAAACGACAAAACACCTCGTTAGGATGAAAAAGCCACAATAACTCGGTGCGCCTAGTGGCTGCAAGAGTTGTATACTCCCCAGGGAGTTGAGACTGACATCCAATGATCGAGGAAAAATACCAGCGCCTTGAGCATGCACCAGTGCGTGGATATGTGCGCTATATAAATATCCTATAATAATAATAATAATAAAAAAAAATATCCTATAATAATAATATAATATAAATTTGTGAAAAACAGTGAATTTCAATAACAGGTGTATGGGCCACATGCACTCATTTCATTGGTGCAGCAACTATAACAAGTCCATTGATTCACTATATAAATGAAGGAATGAAGTCCAAATTATCAAATACAATTTTGGTATCGTTTCTTTTGCCCGTTAGTTTATATGGAAAGGTGTTTAGTAAAATACGATTACATACCTTCGACCAGTTAGCAACATCGCTGAAGAGGACGTCATCAGCAGTTTCAACGTCACTAGGAGCACCGTCACTGTCCTCGCTGTTGAATTCACACAACTGAGATTTCACACCAAAGTTAACAGATTTACAAATAATACCGTTAGCCTTGCACATGGCGATACATTCGAAAAGCGAGAGCGCTTCCATTTTGGTAGAAACATGGTTCTTCATTCGTTTGTTTTCCTGCACACGACTTTGACCACTGTCCAGACAGTCCTGTCCATCCGCAATCGCCATTACTAGGCAGACAAACACAAGTCTGAACCACACCGGCTCCATCATAGCAAACACTGTGATAGTTGGAGCTTCGCGAAGAGTGTCATGAAAGTTTAATCCGCAACAAATCAGTAGATATATACACTAACCACGTTGTTCAACGTAGGTATACTTCAGGGATCGGTATTTATCCAAACCATCTTTGTGATGCCCTTTGAGACTGAAAGCTGCAAATCCGTTTCCACAACTGCAATATGCTTCAAAGAGAGTCGGTTGTCCAATATCGACTGTATCATGAGTATAATTTATGTTCATAGATCTATCAAATATTGATGACACTTGGAAGTCGCTGAAACGTATCCTGCCAAACAGGTGACACCCGTCCAAAACACACGCAAAGGCCAGTCAATGTGACACTGGAGAAAGGCCACGTGTTTCACTACATGTGTATCTTGAAAAGAAACCAGTATGGTATTATCCTCAACGATAAAACAACTCATTTTGTCTTAAGATAAATTATGGTTTGCTAATAAATAGGGGTGGGTATTGCTGAGAATTTTCACATTGCGATATATTGCGATGCGAAGCAGTTGAGACAGCAACTTGACCTGGTCAGGGCATATCAGTGATCATTGGTCATTAATATGTAAATATTAAAACATTCTGATCCAAAACATTGCGAAACACTTGAACAAAAATTAAGAACACAACTTCAAACCAAACTTAACAAACCAGTTAAATGTAAAATCTTTGAAGGGCATGTAGAAGTGGAATGCATAAGAAAAGCAAGATTTATGGATCAACTTCATTCACAATAGAGAAGTTGACATCCATACATCTTGCTTTTCTCAGTTAAATGTAATTTTCACCACAATCATTCCTATCACCATTACCACAGTCACGATCATCAAGTTTTCCACAGTTACGATTTTATCACTGTCTTTTAGTTTAAATTTGGTTTTATTGATCATTCGAAGAGATATACCATTACTGTTGTTCGAAGTTGTTTTGGATTCTTTCCTTGCTGTATCGACCAGTGATAGCAATACGCATAGCAGACAACACCAGAGTATCTAGTTGGTCAAGAATATGTTTGTCAAAGAAAGCTACACTGAGTATTGTCTTATATTTACAAAGTGGTACTTTTTGATAAATCCTACATTTTATTATATAGTCAATGTTTATTGTTTATTTGTACTTCTAATATTGTCACTAGTATTTACACGCTTTGGAGGACAAAACATCAACGGCGTAAAGGAGGATTGTTACAGTACATGTATGTACAAACCATTTCAAATTGAAAACTTTATTTATTCAAAATACCTAATTGTTTCAATGCGTGTCCAAAGATCGCCCAAATTCCATCATCTTTGTCTGTGCAATTTACTCAGCAAACACTTGTATTCCCTCTGTTCGTAAACGGGTCAGTGGGGTAGCATCGTAGATAAAGCGAAGATAAGAATCAATAGATACATGCTATGGAGGAATGCACAGTATGTTTCATGTTAACAGGACACCTATATGCTTAAACTTCAAACATTTAAAAGTATTCGTTTTAGTGCAAGCTTTAATACCTGAAGGTAACTGAGACGAGTTATTCCGTGTAGTGGAAGTTGTATTTCAAGGTTACGCTTGAAGATACGGGTAACAATTGGTCTTAAGCGACCCATGCTTGTTGTAAGAGGCGCCAAAAGGGATAGGGTGGTCTGGCTCGCTGACTTTGTTGACACATGTCATCGTATCCCAGGTGTGTAGATCGATTCTTATGATGTTGATCACTGGATTGTCTGGTCCAGACTCGATTATTTACATATAGCTGGAACATTGCTGAGTGTAAAATCTAAGAACACAAATCGACTGCAAGTATACGGTATATCTCTATTTTCCTGAGACATTTACATTAAGTGACGCTTATTTGGATAATAAAAAGTAAATTGAGTTAAATGACTGTTAAGATATTTTTTCAATGAGCATTCCTCAGCATAACAATCCTACATTCTAACTTGAATATTCACGCGTCAAACAGGTAATTATAATCATACCCAAGCTGCAAGGAATAAAGTAATTTAGACAAAATGTTGTAGAGATAGAATGTTCATTTACATATGCTGATGCAATTCTGATACGTTGCACATTCCACTCACTTTTGTTGATGTTTTTTAGCATTTATAAGAAAGGATATTTCATCGAAAAACCTGTGCTTTACCCCGTGAAATGAAGTTATACAATTATGTAAATAAAAGCTACTTTAGGAATCAGGGTCCCGATCCACAAAGCGTTCGTAGCGCTACCACATTCGTAAGCCTATGATAAACTATAGAGTTACGACAGTTCGTATCGGGCCCCTGATTATATTCATTTAGCTGAATTAAATAACAGCTGAAATTTAGCTGAATATATGGCAGTGAGTGAGTGAGTGAGTCTATTTTTACGCCTCACTCAGCAATATTCCAGCTATATGGCGACGGTCTGTAAATAATCGAGTCTGGACAAGACAATCCAGTGATCAACAGCATGAGCATCGATCTGCGCAATTGGGAACCGATGACATGTGTCAACCAAGTCAGCGAGCCTGACCACCCGATCCCGTTAGTCGCCTCTTACGACAAGCATAGTCGCCTTTTGTAGCAAGCGTGGGTTGCTGAAGACCTATTCTACCCCGGATCTTCACGGGCCTGAATATATGGCAGAATCTGATGTCTACATCATAAGGTGGAATGCACAATGAGTCACCGACAGACATCAAACATTTAAAGGTATCCATTTCATTGCAAGCTTTAATGTTAATCGATACAAGCTGCTGAATGTTAAGAGAGGTAATTATAGTTCTATAGCTACTGCCATGAATAAAGAATTAGTCAAAACAAGATTACTTCTGTATTCCATATTAATGCGATGTTTCCTTGTAGATGTTTATACCGATGTCCCAAGTGTGTTAAGTGACACCTTTATGCACATCCAATTATCAGTAGCAACAGCAGCAGCAGCAGCAACAGCAGCAACAACAACAACAACAACAACATCAACAATAAAATAACATACATGAACATAGAAAATAAACACTGAAAACACAAGTCCACTTTCTCTGTGTTTGTTTAAATTTATCTCTGTGTGGTATAAGTTTGAATTGCGTTTCAGGGCACCAGTATAATATATGATAACAATATCGGAGATATTATGTTCATCAAAGTTAAATCTAAGACAGAGTTGCCCTATACGAAGGCAATAATAAGGAACACACTGAGCCAGTACACGAAAATATCAGTACATAATGCAGACACTGTCTGACTGGAACCCATTTTTAATTCTGTAAATCAATACAAATTCTGCTTACAAAGGACACATTTGCGTTATGCAAAAGTGGTACCTCAATCCATACTCAAAAGGCGAGGGAAATACCTGGAAACTATGATAGTTGTGATGGGCATTTATGATTAGTCCTGCAAAGCATTCGAACCCAATTTAAATTGCTTAACAGATATGGTTCTGTTGAGATTCAGATAGACACCTGCTACATACAGGAATCGAGTTTAATCTATGTGAAGATCCGGGTTAAATTGATTAAACATGGTATTAATGTAGTTCATATGTATCCAGTGATGGATTCATGTGTTGATCCCTGGATTGTCTGGTCCAGACTCGATTATTTACAGACCACCGCCATATAGCTGGAATATTGCTGAGTGCGGCGTAAAACTATACTCACTCACTCAGCATTGGCCTGTCCTGCACAGGAGGAACATTTCTCTAAGCATCTGAAATATACTCAGAGATAAACGTTATTGTGACATGGATTGTTTCCATTGGTAATCTTGTGAATGAGAATTTGGATTTGAACCAGACAGTTGTCAAATTGTACGAAATTTGCAGAAGCACAACATATTCGAGAAAAATGGCCAGTAATGATAACTTAAAAGGGTCAGACAACAAGACACTAGATCGATGCTCGATTATTTACAGACCGCCGCCATATAGCTTGAATATTGCTGAGAGGCGTAAAGCTAAACTCACTCACAACCGTACCTCGATACATTTGTCTTTCCATATAATAGCATTTCACTCGCGAATAAATAACTAATCGGTTTGAGAGTTTAGAAAGCTCAACGTATTTATCTATCATTGTTACTCTGTAACATCACACGAAACACTGAGACGCCACAGAAGTCCTGCCTTGACCATGAAGGTCACGAAACTGTTGCATCAGTGAATCACGATGAGTAAGTGAGTTTAGTCCTCGTTACGTCATGATTGTGACCCAGTTTCTCCAGCTGCAAAACATCCATATTTTCATTTGATTTGATTTGGTTTGTTGTTTTACGCCGCACTCAGCAATATTCCAGCTATATGGCGGCGGTCTGTAAATAATCGGATCTGGACCAGACAATCTAGGGATCAACAGCATGAACATCGATCTACGCAATTGGGATGCGATGACTCGATTACTTACAGACCGCTGGAATATTGCCGAGTGAGGCGTAAAACTAAACTCGCTCACTCACTCTATAACGAACACGTTTATAACGAACAGAAGGATAAACTTAAACACAAGTTTTGGTCCCAGACACACGCTATGTATTTTAGTCGACTGCATGTTACGAACAACGCTTATTAGGAACTAAAATCAGTGGTCTCTTTGATTTCCTTATAATCTTTGTGTACTGTGTCTTGATCGGACTCCTGTGTGTTCCGCTGGTAATGCCAACAGTCGCCAATTGACAAACATTTACAAAAAATGTGCAAGAGATCCTTTTCGTTAAATATGTATGTAACATTTTTCTTTATCCAGCAAAGATTGTAAGATAGAACAGAAAGACAAATCAATTCTCCCTGACTTCTGCCAGACAATCTACTGCGCTTGCCTTGGAAATGGTAATCTGTTCATCTTTGAGAAACATAGCACTTAAATATATTATAATTACCAAATACCGAGGAATCCAAGCATAAGAAAAACTTGGTGAAAATAACATGGACTGTCGTGAGTTAATTTACCATATATTAAATTCTGTAACATTTCAAAACACGCTTATTGATATCGCACTGCATGCATAGAGAGGCGTCCACTGACACAACAACTGTTACAACTGATACAACTTGTACAACTGACACAACCACTAACACAACCACCGACACAACCACTGACAGAACAACTGACAGAACAATTTCCGCCACTGGCACAACCGCTGGCACAACCATTGACACAACAACTGACAAAATCGCTAACAAATGACACAATAACTAATACAACTGACACAACAATCATTGACACATCAACTGACACAACAACTGACACAACAGCGGACATAACAACTTGCACATCTGGCACAACCACTGATACAACAACTGACACAACCACTAAACACACCTGACACAAGAACTTACACAAGCACTGATATAACAAGAACACAGCACACTGATACAACAACTGACACAACAACTGATACAACCACTGACACAACAACTGATACAACACCTGATACAACAACTGATACAACTGGCACAAGTCACACAACAACTGACACACCAACTGACACAACAACTGGCACAACCATAGACACAACAACCGGCACAAGTGACACAACAACTGACACAACCACTGACACAGCAACTGGCACATATGACACAACAACTGGCATAACAACTGACACAACTAACACAACCACTGACACAACAACTGGCAAAGCCACTGACACAACAACTGACACAAGTGACACAAGAACTGCCATAAGAACTGACACACTAAC